GGGAACAGGATTAAAATTCTGGATGAGCCATGACATATCTGAGTTTTAGTCTATGCTGCTATATTTCATGAAGACAGTTTTATTTTTGTTCCATATGAATCTTTGTAATTATCTCAGTGGAGCCATACCAGAGAAGGCCATATAGTAATTTAGTAACTGGCTTATTTCTCATAAATAAAAGTAGGTATTTAAAGCATTCATTGCAATGTCTATTTTCTAGTGACCAATAAAAGCTGAAATGTTAAATTAAAAATTCCAGGATCTTATTTTCTATTTAAAGAGTGTTATGTAACTTAAATATCCTATAGAAGTGAAATGGTTTAGTAAATTATGGCACATTTACACAATGGATTATTTATAGCCATTTAGAAGGATATCTAATAAGTATGTTATAGGACTGTGATATACTTACTTAGGTACAGATAGGATATAAAAATTTATATGGAATTATGCAACCCCAAAAAAGAAAAAAACACCTAGGGCTATTTGGCAAAAAGAAGACTGGATGGAAATATATAGCAAATTGTCATCAGGTAGTAAGGAGGACTTTGGGAAATTTTTTCCTTTCTTTTACTCCCCCATAATTAATATTCTTTCTTATTTATAAATGAAATATATTATTTACAAGGTTATATATAACACCTCATAAATACACACACACACACACATATATATTTCCACCCCTCTGGCCAAAAATATTTTCACTATAACCAGTCTGAAAGGGCCTTTTCAAATTTCTTTCTCATGGACTTTTCCCTTGACATTATATACTTCCAGCATGTTTATCTTTAGATTTAAATTAAATGGAAATACTTACTCCAGATTTTACTCAAAGTCTCAGAGGGCTTGGTAAACTGAATAATATTACATTCCTTGATAGTTTACTTATCAGTGTAAGAAAACTAAACAGAAGGCGATCTGCAGCTTTCTCTTCAGTTTCTTCCATGATCTAAAAACAGGAGGGATGGTAAATCAATTAAGACAATAATTTCAAAGTATCTGATGGGCATTTTTACTCCAGCATGTAAAACTATACCAGGGTTTCTCAACCTCAACACTGCTGACTTTTGGGTCAGATAATTCTTTGCTTTGGGGGGCTGCCCTGTGCACTAGAGAATGTTTAGCAACATTCCTGGCCTCTACCCACCAGATAACAGTAGCACCCCTCTACCCTCCAGTTGTGACATTGCTAAATGTCCCCTGGGGGGCAACATCACTCTGCTTAAGGAACTTTGATCGTCACACACTATGAAAGATAACTTACGTTAATCTTCATTTTAAAAAGATACAACTGCACTGAGTTTTTGCTTTTATTAATAAAAAACCATTTTGATCATATATAATATTTAACCTATTAGCTATACCACTTCAAGTAAAATTATAAAAATAAGCTAGAGTTGTAAATAACTTACATCTATAAATTTTTCAGGATCAATTTCCTTTTCAATCACAGGGAGAACAGTTCCAAGTCTTCTGTCAAAAGTGACTCCTTCACTTTCCACAAACAAGCCACAGACGAGGGCAGCTAATTGTCTATTCAAGCTCTACCAGAAATAAACCACCACAAGACAATATCAGCACAACTTGGGAGGCTGTTTCCAAAACTTAGAAATGAAGGTGGGCATGACTCTGTCCTCAATACTTCTTTATAATACCAGGAATCAAGAGGATGTGGATTTTTGGTGGCTAACATGAAAAATGCAGAGAAATCTTCATACCACAGGACAACATTAAGAAAAAAGTGGTATTCATCATTATCCACAGAATAATACCCTCTATTTTAAATTTTTTTTAAAAAAGGAAGTTTTTTTTGTTTGTTTCATGCCCCACTGCCCTCTTTCTGACTTTTACACTTAAAGCCAGTATTAAGATATGACATATGTTGTTTATACTTCACAAAGATGGGCCGGTGATGATAGTGGTAGAGTCAGCAAGTGGATACATCACTGGCAAAAATTACACGCTATATATTGAATGAGCAAAACCGGAAACAAAGATATTCATTATCAATGGGGACTGGTTAAGTAAATTATAATACATTCATGCAGTGGAGTAATCAGTTGACATTAACCATGTAGTGGGAATACAGGTGATTTTTATGTTACTCTCTATAACTTCTTATATTTTCTGAAATTTTACTATAAGAATATATTATTACCACAATCAAATAAGAACAATAAAGCTACTTGGGAAAATTTAATTCAACAATATATAATATGTATTTAAAGTATAAACACCAAAAGCTCAGACTTTTCTTTAAAATATTACTAAAAGCAACACTAACCTTCTTTGCCCCAAACCAGGTGGTAACCATACTAAAGAGCCAATCTTTTTTCTCAAGGCTGATTTTGCTGAGTAAGGATTTGATTGCCATGGATGCCATCTTTTTACACATGGCAGAGTCATCGTTCACCATCATCAGACAAAGAGGAATAAAGAACATTCCGCAGTTCTCGTGGAGCAGCCCCTGAAGAGAAAACAGACACGCCAACGGGAGTTCTCACAGGCGTCCTACCAAGGCCCACGGGAGCCACAGCAAACAAACACAAGCACGGAGCTTGTCTCTGGTTCACGGTACCTGAGGGAATGTGTCAAAGAGGTAAGCGATCATTTCCAAGGCAGACTCTCTCCCGGTCTCGTGTTCATAACTAGGGCAAGAACATTAGAAGGATTTGTTAGTAACTTTAAAATTTACCAACAATTATTTTGTGGAATTTTAAATACTGTCTCGGGGTGTCATCTATTTCTTAAAAAGTGGAAAGGAAGTTCCATTTCCCCAGTTTTAATACGTGTATTTATTTATCATGCTACTGTGCAGTTTTAAATGTAATTCTATTAGCGTTCTACTTTAATGACAATCAGTGGTCACACTAAACTGAAAAGTGACCTGCAGAACTGCTCTAGGAGCCATGCACAGTGCCTGGCAATCAAGTCAATGATTCATGCGAGAGCGTCCTAGGAGTGTGTGCCATCGCGTGTCAGCTTTGTTGTGTCCCAAGACAGCTGACACATTAAAAGGAGAGAAGAACCTACCCCACTGCCCTGTGTAGTTTATGGCTTCAACTTACTTCAGTTGAGCAAGCATGAATTCCAAGTTTGGTCTCAATTTGTCACCCAGAGGATAATCGAGAATATATTTCAGAAAAACCTAGGAACAGAAGTCACACAGATTATTTGGATCCTATCTCTCTAGGATTCCTCTTTCCTGAGCCGCTCTCTGGGACACACTGGTAGGCTACAAATTGTAGGTTACAAAGACCTTTCAGAAGGGCGATCAGTTAGGTAAAGTCCGCCTCCTGAGTCAGTAGCTGTGCCCCTCCCCTCTCCTCCTACCTCACATCCTCAGCTCCTGCCTGATTACCAGTCAAGTTCTGGCCCACCACCAGCACGGCTGTTTAGGGATCCAAATCCGAGCTCACACACGGGAAGCTCATGTCCCTGATAGGAGGGTGTGGCGGACTGAGTACGGACTGTGTTCAACCCCATATTCCCCCGAAATAAGAATAACAATAATAGTGACAATAACACTGATAATAACTATTGCATTTACTAAATACCTTCTTTGTGTCAAGCACTGGGTTGTTTTTTGGTTGTTTTTTTATTACTTCCTCAGGAAGCATGCCTCATTTTACAGATGAAGAGAATGAAGCTGGCACACAGAGGTAAGTCACTTGCTCAGGTGACAGTGCCAGAATTTTGACTGCCTGCCTGCATCCAAAGGCTCTGCTTTCAAACCACTGTATTACTCAGCTTCCTTTATTAATAAACTGAGAACTAAGCACACCATTAAACTTTCCAAGGCCTGTTTGTGCCCAACCGTAAAATGGTGGTACTGTTTGCCTTGAAGGATATTTACAAATAGCTGCCACCTATGTAAAGTGCTGGGCGTGCAGCTAATGCTTAACAGACAGCAGCTGGCCCTCCTTCTTCCTAAAAAAGTTAATTTTTTCCAAAGATGACCTCAGCAACCCAAGGCTTCCTTTCACTCTGAGTTTATTTTTCTAATTCAGAGTCTTCCACCTGGGCCGATATGTGCTCATAAGATCAGATATGGACAAACGTCTAAACACAAATCTGCTAATGTCACTCCACCACCTATGGACTTCAATAGCTTTTCTTTTTCTTACAACAAAGCCCTAAATCTTTAACAACATCACAAGATCTGGCCTGATCTGGCCCCCTTCCCTACCTCATTCGCCTTCATTTAATTCCTCCAGCAAGCTAAGCTCTTACCCACCTCAAGGCTCATCTTCCTCAGCCTGGAAGGCTAAGCCTTATTCTTCCTTCGAATTCTGTTTATATGCCACTCCCCAGGAAAGCTCCCCCTGACTCTCACGCTAGGTGCTCCTCCACACTGTCACGTGCGATTACCATACCTGTCAATTCTAAGCAGCAGAGTTTTCCACATTCTAACACTTCTGAAATTGGGATGTGTCTTACAATTGATGCCGTCTGACCACTGTGTCATAGTTTTTTTCTTTCTTTGAGGAATATAAGTAATGGAGTGTCTTGTAAGTGACGAAATATGACACTACTTTTTCCCTTCTGGCACTTGGATGTCTGTAATTAAATAACTGTCTGTGGAATTTTTGCTTTGTGCCTGTCTGCTACAGGATAGACAGGAACTCTAAACATCTTGTTAACCACACTTCCGGCAGCACCAGGTACAAAGTGATGTG